ATGTGCTTAGAGTTCGGTGTGGTGGCGGGGTTGACCGCAAGGTGAAGAGCCCCCTCGTTATCCTCGAACACCAGTGTGCACCCGACATCGCGACCCGGAAAAGTAAAACCCCAAATATACCGCAAGAAAATCGCCTCCTTCATTCCGTCAGCCATCGCAACATACTCTGCTTCCGTCGACGACAGGGTCACACTTTTCTGCGTCGTAGACAAAAACGAAACACATGCACCGCCGCACATCACAACTGCTCCCGAGACCGACCGCCGGTCAGTGGCCCGGCTGGCATAGTCGGAGTCAACATACAAGCGCAAATCGATACCCGCCCTTGAACCCCGCTGAAATGTAATACCAAGAGTACTCGTGAATCCAATGTACATCGCAATATGCAACGCAGCCCGCCAGTGTATGCTCCTAGGTGCATGGGAATACCTCGCAACGGACCGCACGGCATTGAGGATATCCGGCCGAGTCTGGTTGGCAAGCCTCATGAGATGACCTACCAAAGAACGAAAAGGCTCAAGAACATCAGGTTCGTCAGCAGAAAAATCGTCAAGCGTCACTTCAACAGGCATCGGGGTCTCCTTGTTGCGCGTGACACCAAAGTTCGCAACCAAGTTGACAACAAAAGTTTCTTGCGACAATGTAAGCGTACCAGCATCCCAATCGCGTGGAAAACGAACTCCCGCATACAAGCGCAACGCTCCGAGGTTGGTGATGGGAACGTAGGCGTTCAAGCCTCGGCCAAGCCTGTCACACCTTCTCTTCCGCCCGATGGAAAAATGTCATCCGCATGCTCTACAACTATCTTGGAAAGCACACCATCCTCGATCAAACGAATGACACACGCATCAGCAGCACATTGGTCAAACCCGAGAGATTTCATGCCCCGAACAAGGTGGTGGTGCCACGCGCGTGACGCCTACTTCAAGCCATAAAGACTACGGGCAAGTCTCACAATCTTATCCGAAAGGGGCCCACAACCCTGCGGCAGACGCACGTAAACGATCTCATCTAGCTTCGATTGCACAAACGCTTGATCAGCAACAAAGTGGCACATGTCCCAACCCATTTCGCACGCGATAGCAGACAAGTGGCTTATACTCGGATGGGTAGGGCACGGGGAAAAAGTCTCAAAATAGTCAATACATTCACGCTGACCGAAACCCCTCGCGACAAGCCGAGCCTTTGCACGCAACACATCACCGAATTCATCAGGTTTCCACGTGTAGACCCATTTGGCAGAGATGACGTTCGTTCCTCGTTGCTGGAGCCCTCCTGCCGGCTCGAACGTGCCCGCCCCAACCAGACCATCCATTGCTGCAGGTGTGGCGCTGTGGGAGGCACGGGAGGGGTGGGCGGGGGGGAAACAGACAAGGGTAAACTCTCCCCCCGCTCGCGCGCCCTTTATCCCCGCTCAATCTGCTGCCGTTGCCGTTGGCGCCGCTCCCGCCGTCGCTGCTGCGGAAGCCGCCGCCGCCGCCGCCACCGCTGCTGCTGCTGCGGCCGCTACTACCGTCGCCGCCGTCGCCGTTGCCACCGCCCCCGGAGCTCTGGCCGAGGCCACCACTCATGTCGAGGCGCGTCCTGCTGTCGACGCTCCTGATCATGGTGTTGTCGGCGAAGGGGCTCGGCCGAAGCCGTCCGCGCCGCCGCCGCTTCCGATGATGGTGCTATCGGCGACGGGGCTCTGATCACAGCGTCCGTGCCGCCCGCCGCCGTCGCTCCCGGTGGTGCCGCTTGGTGCGAAGCATCACCCCCCGGCATGTGCCCATGCATCTCTACCTCGATCGAACGGGAGGTCCACTCCCAGCACGGGCCCCCTGGTCGCTCTCCTCCAACGGGAACGTTTCCCTCTGTCAAAGGGATGCGTTGACGCTCCATGCCAGGCCGCGCCATCTCCGCCGTCGCCGCTGCTGCTGCTGCGGCCACCGCAGCTCCGGTCATCCTTACCACCGCTGTTGTGATCTCCCTCCTCACGCACCTCCTGCGCAAATAATCCTCCCGGGTCAAAAGGGTACGACGCGCCCCTCTCGAAACCGTAGTTGCCGTCGTCTCCACCGCTGCTGCAGGTCAGGCCGCCGCTGTCGGCGCACGTATCTTGACTGTCCGGCGCCAACGCGGCAACCGGGGACGCCGCTGCTACTGCTGCCCCCACCGCCGCCGTTGCCATCGCCGCCGCTGCTACCGTCTCGATGCCGGGCACCATCGTGGCCACCGAGGATGCCGCTGCCGCTCCTTCTCCCATCGCCGCCGTTTCCGTCGCAGCCACTGCCGTTGTTGCTCCATGCGGCGTTACTCCTGCCGCCGCAGCTCTTGGCGAAGCCGCCGTTGCGACCGCCGGTGCGGATGCCGTTCCACAAATCCCAACCGTTGAAGATTGGGCAGCAGGGCGGATCTCATCGGCATGGTTTGCTGTGGGTGATGGCACAAGTGAGGGTGCTGGCTGCTGCTGCTGCTGCTGCTGCTGCTGCTGCTGCGACGGTGACTGCCTGGGTTGTTGCGATGCCGCGGATGGCGAAACTACAACATGTGCATTGCTACGCTCTTACTGTACCTGGCCTCCATGAGATCCAGAACTGCGCGATTCCGCGCTACTGCAGGTGCTATACGTGATGTCTTGGGTCGCGGGGGAGAATGAGTGGCGGGGTGCGTAACTGCGTTGGGAGAAGATACGTTGGCGGGGGCTATTACCAGCAAAGACACCACAAACGAACCGGCAGCAGCCCCGCCCCCCTTCTCGCCAACAACCACCCCACCACTCACTTGTCCAACCACACGACGGGTGGAGCCGGCCGCCAGCTGTTGATGCCGCGGCTGCTGCTGGAATCCACCAGTGCTGCCATACACCACGCCTGGTTTCTGCTGCTGTTGCTGCTGCTACTGCTGCTGCTGGAACACAGACCCGCCGCCAAAGCCACCGTTCCTCCGCTGCTGGAACGGTCCGCGGGCGAGGTTGAACTTGCAATACTGATGTACATTACCTTTCTCTCCACAGCAGCTGCATTGGTGCTGCTGCTCGGGAGGGGGAGCAGCGGGAGGGCGTGGGCGTTGGTTGGGCACCAGCTGCTGCTGATGCTGGTACCGGCTGTGCCCTGTAACGACGTGATTGTGGCGGCTGCTCTGCTGCTGCACTCCTCTCGTCACCTGCTGCTGGTGTCCACCGTACCACACATGGGGCTTCTTCCCCTCCCTCTCTGAAAAAAATTGATTTGGACCGATCCTTCCGTCCTTGTCAAAAAATAATCTCCCTGATCCACCGGGCCCACCCCCGGCATGTACACTTCCTCCAGCTGCCCACCCAGCTTGACCACCTGCTGCCTTCCCAGCACTCTCTAACGCAGCGATCTTGTCCATCGCTAGTTGGACTTTCTTCCTAAATTCCTCTACCGCCCTCTCCGCGGCTGCAGCCCTCTCCGCAGCTGCTGCCTTACCTGCAGCATCCTCAGAATCCTACATCGGTCGAACTTATATCGATTGATCGTGTTTGTGTACCCCCGTGACCACCCACGGACGTTGCCGTGCCCACCCACGGTATGATGTCTGTCTAGGGACTATGTCAACCCAGAGGGCCGATGCAGATGAAATATATCCTTTAGTAACACACACGTGCTCTTCCAGCACGGACCGAAGTCAGTTCAGGTCCTGTTTCAGTGAACACAAGCGCGGGCTCTCACGAGGGGGCCCGCACTTGGACCCTCAACAGCATACCCCCCGCACACATGTTCCCTGCAGACCGAATCTTGTATCCAAGTACCCCAAACAGAGCCAACGGCTGTTTGTTGCCCTTTAGATCTCACGGAACGAAGAGGAACAAAACACCAAAGATGTTGGCCTGACCTTCACGATGCGACCGGCTCTGCAAGTTGACACAACAAGCACTTTACCCGCGAGCAAGCACGGCACCGTCGAGGTGGTTGAGCACGTCTCCAGACGTCCCACATCTACGGGGGCCCGCAAAGGCGCACCAGGGCGCTGAATCTTCAATCTTCTTCCACACATTCCTCGTCACTCTGAAGAGAAACTCTGGGTTGGGCTTTGTCGGCGTTGGAAACTGGTCAGACATCGCGCTTTCTCCAGAAAATGTTGGAGTTTGAAAGCTTTTTCTTCCCCTAAACGTTGGCACAGCCACACACCACATAACACAGGCCTTGGCGCTTTAGAGCACATTTACGTGCGTTGGTGCGGGATTCATTGTACATTTCCTTCACACACGAGCATCTCAGGTGTTTCACATTGCTCAGGGTCGTGCATGGTAGGCCTCGACAGGAAACAACAACGTTTGTCAATGTTTTTGTCAGGTTTTGGAGAGTTCCGGGGTGCTTTCCGACGCGGCCGGTTCGTTCTTCTACGACAAGGATCTGAAGCTCGTCGACAACCTCACGGACGAGAAGGTACGATCTCCGTGTCGTCATTCGTTCGTTTCAATTGACATCCTTACAAAAAGGTGTGCTGTTACATCTCAAGTTTTTCCCGGCTCAGGCCATGGAGAACTGTCGGCTGTCATGGAGTTGGGAGCATAACCTGTAGGCTCGGAAAATGGTGCCTCCGCGCGTCATTTCCATCAGCGAACACGGATCGTGGGTTGTGCTCAGCATGTAAACCACAGCACACGTTGCGGTTTCGGTGTTCATTGTATTCGATAACTTCCCATAGTTTTTTGTGCTGAGAATCGGTAGTGTGTTTCCGTTAGTCATGTGATACAATTCTCATGCAAGGTGCCACGGAAAATTTGCACATGCGCACACCCCGCGCTTGTTGATAACGGAAACAGCACTTCGCGCAGGGTCGCTCATGGGACCCCGAGAGTGATGGTTTGCACATGGGTGAGGGGAAGGCTGGTGGACTCGATAGCCGCCGAAATATAACAAACACCCAGGCAGCGCAACCGACGTGCACACCGTCCGGGGCATATGCAAAAATGCCTTTGTTTTCTGCGCCGTTTGTCCTGTAGCCGCTGAGTCGTCTCGCACCAGCCAGACCCCCCGGAGGCTCTGGAACTGTTCTAAACCGAAGACGTCCAGGGCAAACGTTTGAAGACAGCGTGATTTTGCTTGACCTTTTTTTCCCATGGGTGTTCCCCGTGAGTTCGCACGGCAACGTGCAGGGTCAGGCGCACGACCGAATCCCGGGCTACACGGCCGACGAGACCAAGGGCATCTTCACTGAGATGCTCCGGCTGCTCAGCACCCCGATGCGCATAGGCAGCCACTACGAAGGGACGAGCACGAATGACGTCAGGTTTTGGGTGTTGCACCCGACAATGGACAGGTATAAACACGAGTCGCGCCGATGTAACCTCGAGTTCCTTTTCTCTTTCAAACGGGTGTTCACGCCACTGCAGGTGGTTTTTACATTTTGTTTGATTCCCATGCTCATAGCGGTTTTTTTCGACTGTTTAAGAAGGCGTCGTTGTGGGCATCATTGGCCTGGAAATGGCAACTGTTGTGGGTATGACAAGACTTTCTTTTCGTCAGAAGCCATAATTGTTTCCACTCTCTTGAGTTCCTGCAATACGTCGTGCAGTGGTATATCTTATCCTCCTCCTGTGACGTAGAACATGACGCGTGAACCCCAAAATTGGGTATTTCGTGAGTATGTCGTGAAGCGTCGTATCTCATCTTCTCAGAACAATCGCGAGGGACGGGCACGTCAATGACTTTCTGCCCTCCGCCCCCGAACTCTCCCCGCTTGCCCCGCTTTCTCCTGCCCAGACTTTGGCACCTGAATAGACTGGAAGACGTGAACGGCGAGGCTTTCGACGAGACCTGGATGGATGACCACCTGCTACGGCCACAACCCTGCCGACGTCCAGCCCTTTCACGACCTCTTCCTGGGACAAGCCACTGGAAAGGGCGGCGACGACCAACAACGAAGAACAGTGCGAGACGAGAGGGATGCGGCGAAAGGGAGTGGTGGAGGGGAACAAGCTGCCGGGTCACGGACGTCTGGAGGAAACAGCGGCCGAGGCGTTATCGCACCGCCCAAGGCGTACTACACTAACCAGATGCTGTACTAGCTGCTCAAGCCGGACGGCATGTCCATCCCGTACATCTATGCCCATTTTGAGCGGCCCCACTGCGATGTGAGTGTGATGTATTATTGCTCCCCCGTGTCATATCGTATGTCGTTACCTGGCATCTCAGATCATATTCCAAGTTGGGATCCCATAGTCGCATGCCAATCTGCGTAGGTCGTTCCCGTCGAAAGTGGGCTAAGCGATGAAGCTCGTCTTGTTCCACTCTCCCACTGTTAAAGGGAAACCCTAGATTTGCTTTGCTGATTGCGGGTGTTGGGGTGTTGGTCCCACTATGTATTGGTCATTCGTTCCTTCTTGTGTACCAGAGAACGTACCGCAAGGAGCGCATCCTTCATACCTCTTGTCTGCGCCCTCCCTAACCCTCGCGACCCGCTTCAGTTTATTTTGGGAACCCGCGGCCTGCCCTGTCGCCGTCGCGCACACACATGTGTCCAACGGTTCCCCACCACGCCCCGCCGTTCGTGTACCTCTCGTGCTGGTTTCCGGATTCTCGTTTGTCGTGGTGATCAGGTGCGTGGGGTACACTTACGGGGGCGTGAGCCTCGACGCTAGCTCCTCTGAGGACATGCGTGACTCACAGGCAGCTCTTCAGGGTTCCTGGAATTAGCACCCCCCCCGCCTCCCATTCAACCTGCTGCGTGTGTCGACTCCCCCGAAGCTGCAAGTTTGGTCGTGACAAAGGTTTCACGAGACTTTCTCCCTAGGGTAACAAGGCGCGACGCTCCTGGTGGAGCAAAGTGCCGTTGCGCTCGGGCGTTGCCGTTATTTCGGTCGAAGCGTGGAGGCTAAGCAATACCCCCGGCTCCGTCAAAGAACTGCTGACTGAGTGCATGACACGTCAAATACGGTCGGGAAGGTCCCTGGTGTGGGTGGATGCTGATGCGTTTTGTCGTACTGATAGATGGGTTCCTCTTGCTCCTCTTTTTTCTGTACAGGGCTGGTCGAACCGCCCGATATTGCTGCTGGTCTGTCGTATCGTCGTCCGGTAGCATTGGGGAAGGAGGGGGAGGAGGCATCCGTACACTGTTTTGTGGCGTGGCGCAAAGAACGACGTTTCTGAAGCCCGCTAGTTCTGACCTTTGGTGCAACTGTTGTCATATGGTCTTGTATCATCGCCCCCCGTCGTCGTGGTTTGCGTTGAAACCCTGCAGGTTTGCTTGGTAGTTCCATTAAAAAGGGTGCTGCCTTGTTTTCGTTGGTGACGGCGGTAGCGAGCGGTACTGAGCGACCGTGACATCATTCAGTGCGCCGCATGCCGGCGAACTGTCGCTTGCTTCGCCGTGAAAGTACTCGTCTTGATTTAGCAGGCCCGGTGTGCTTCATATTTTTTTATCTTCGAGTGCAGTAGAAGGTTCGTGTTAGCCGCGTGTCTATGAAACCGAGGTTGCGGGTAGGCAAAACGTGTACTGTGTACGAATGTCGGCAAAACGTGTGGTGTGGACTCATAGTCCGTTTGTCTTTGGTAAATTCAGAGTGCCTGTGCTCTTCGGTATGATTTGATGTTTGTGTTCAATGCCTCAAACAGCTTGGCATCTGCTGGTTGCAGCCCTGTGAAGCGTAGTCCTTTCTTGTAAATTTTGGTGGTCCTTTTGTGTTTCAATCCTCCACGAAGGAGCACTCAACTTTGGTTGTGTTGTACTTCGACGTGAATATTGATGCTTTTTGCTGTTTTCTTTAGCCTGGAAACATCGTCTTGGGTTTCATTTGTGAAAAGGGATTCTGGAGTCTTTTCCTCCCGTCAACGTCAAGCCCCGAGGTTGATTACCCAAGCGCTGTGGACACGTGTTTAGGTGATCGGGAGTTTACCCGTGTGTCTGCTTCCTTCGGCCTCATTTTCGGTGCTTTGCCGCCTCGAGTGTGTGTTGACCCGGCCTTTCTCACGAACTAGAACCGTGTACGTACCCACCAAGGCTTGTATCCATTTTACGTATATTTCGCAATCTCTGCAGCAGTGGCCTGAGCCCCAACCTTGCGCATGCTGCGAAAGTGAGAAGCTGGGTGGGAATCTTTGTCGGACGAATAAAATGAAGGAGTACACCACGTGGATCGAGTGTTTGTCGTTGGTAAGGATTCAAGTATTACCAGGAGAAAGAAAAATGTTGTTGTGGTTTGTGACAGTGATGATCTGGTTACAGCTTCTCCAGAGGCATCAATGCAACATTGTGTTTATGTAGCCAGTTGCAACAGAGGGGACAGGGGAGACAAGAATCCTTAGTGTCGACATTTTTGTAAGTCCATGTCGCCCTTATGCCGCCGGAGCTTGTTCTTTATTGTTTTCATTGCATTTACAGCTACTGCTCCGTTGTTCCACGTCGTGATGTATCCTCGTCGACCGCGCGACATCATTTTTCTTCTCTTGAGAACCCGCGTACTGTAGACTGAAGTATAGACGGACGTGGAAGAAAGTATATCATCCAGGCGTTGGCATCGTCTCTTTCCGTTGATGTTGCCGGTGCTTCTGGTGAATATTATTTTTGGTACTGCGCTGTTGCTGTTGAGGTTTTTCGTACGTAGCCTTGTTCCTTCACGCCATTGGCTCAACCTGGCGCAGGAGCTTTGGTGCTCCAAGGAATTGCCGGCCTTCTTTATGTTGCTGTCTGCCCTGGACTTCGTCCTCGTTGAAATTTTTCTGAACCGGGCACGAGTGCGATTTCTTCTACCGCTTTCTTTTCGTCCTTTCGTCCTCTTCGGCCATTTGATGATGCCTCGATCTTTCTGAATTCGAAGTGTTGAATAGCACGATGACCACTGGAACCCACCCTAGCGGTTGCCATCCCTGTGATGCGCGCCGTCTTGCCCCGAGAGTGCGTTTATTCACGAGGTTTTCATCGGCAATGCAAATCTTTGTAGGCATGACGAAAGAAAGCAACTATCTTCGTGGCGGGAGAGGGACTCGATGCGGTTCCCCTATCGCGCGAGGCTCATGACCTGACAGCAGGTACGCCAGCTGTTGTACGTTGTTGCCAGCGTACGCACGTGGCTAAGGCTTGGGTAGTGCAGTACATCTTGTATTCTTCCCATACAGACGCGTAAGCTGCATTCCTCACGGTGACACCTTGCAGCGCCTTCGCAACCCGGCACAAATCCCACCGTGCATACCGCATCAAATCCATGCAGCTATCGCATCAAATCCATGCTGCAGTAGAATAGAGTCGTTCTATACTGCAAGTACTCTGTAACTCTAGGGACATCGATTCCTGCCCCACGTATTTGCGTACGTCATTGAATGTCTGTACGTCCTTGTTCACCCCTGGCGCTCCCTGGAGATCGACCGACGGTGCTGTTCCGAGGCTTCTAGAAACACGTCTCTTTTCTTGATCGAGGGAGGTCAAAGTGATGCCAGCAGGTGATGATGAGCTGACCGCGACACCAAAGGCTAGCAACCACTTGGCAGGTTGGGCTCCATCCAGTTCTTGCTCCACAGATCTTGGTCTCGGAGGGCCGTGATATTCCACATCGCTACCGGAGCTGTGAGGCTGCCTAGAGTCTTCACTCCTAGACAACAGCGAAGAACTCGTGGTACGGTATTCAAAATACTCATAAAAGAGAACTAGTAGAACCGAACAAACGGTGTTTTGAATGATTCCTGTTTTTTATGGATGCAACAAAGCAAGGAAGATCAGAATCACAGCAGCTGGCAAAAAACATGTAGGTTCCCGAGCCGAACTCATGAAAACAAACCACATAGACTGAACGGATCGAAGCCTGAAACCAAAGCACTCACAACAAAGTCTACAAAGCTACGTGCGTTCATATGCCCACTTGAGACAAGCGGCGCATACTTTTTCAGCAGCCCGCGCAGATCGCCAGAGATACATTCCTCGCTCAATCAACAACAACGGGCGGCTGCTCTGCGCTGCGAAAGGAACATGAAATTCACCCCGCCCATCAACGTCGGATCCATGCGCTCATGGACAAACAGGTTGATATCAAGCGCGTACTAATCATGATGAGCACCCGGCCGATTACGTCCACATGAAACCAAACAAATATAATCGAACCACCCTGTTACTATCCTACACCAACGTTGTGCTAAGGTTTCGCAAGCAGACCGCGCGAACGGGTTTCCAGACGCCGGGTCCGCCGAAAAAACGGACAAGTGAAATACAACACACGCGGAAAGGACACCCCCCTGGTCACCAGCCTGGTACACTGGGTGCCGAGGCCCGGTTCCCCAGTTCCCAGTTCCACAAAATGTCCAGGTTCCCATGGCGGTCCCTATGAATGCTTTGAGACGTCGCAGAAGTCGTTACGGAAGAACGAGAGGGGCTCGGCAAGAGCGAACAACGAAGACGAAACCGCAATAGCCCCCTCCGAGGTGTTGACAGCAGTGTACCATTGATCTGCCAAGAAACAAGATTCTGACCAGCCATTGGCGAGATCATCGGGGTTTTCATCCTGGTCGAGTGCCGGAGACCGACTAGCCTCCGCTGGCGGTGGAGGGTTCCCGCGTGATGGATACACGTAGATACCTGGGCTGTGAGATCCACGCCGCAGGTCCTCAGCTGCTGGGAAGATCAAACAGTCGGCTAGCTTTCAATGCTTGTGTCGGCCGTCCTACGCACCAGCGAAAGCTTCGTAGTCCAGAACACTGAGAATTCCTCCTCATCGATGGCAATAGAGAAAAGCCGACCTACGGAGATTCGCGCAGGTCTTGAGGGAGGTCCTCCTGCCGTAGGTTGTCCAAGTCGTAGTGGAATTGGCTCGCGTCGACCTGTAACGGCCCAGGGGTTGCAAGGGTGCCAAAACGTATCAACGATGAATGGATAATTTGAGGCGATCTTTTGGACATTCTGCAGCGACGGCACAAGTATGTGGTGACGAGATTGGCCTTGCACAGACGAAAATGCGACAAACGTCAATGTAGTGTACTGTCGATCGATCTCAACAAAAAAAAGAATGCTGCGACAACAAAATAGTGACACAAGGACATACAGCAAAATTCACTGTCGTTTTTACCAGTCCGTCGATGCCCTTGAGGCGGGCCGCCTTGGGCACCACGGCCAGCTCCGTGAAGCCAAGGCCTCGCCAGAGCCGAAGAGACGCCTCGTTGCTGCGAAACACCTGATAGTTGTGTTGTGCTATTCAGTGGTTACAGAAAGGCCACGGTTGTTGATACCGAACAAAATATTCATGTCATTGCGCTACGTTGTCGTGGATATGAAATGCCGTTTGACACAAACACAGTTATTTGAACACTTTGCGAGAGACGGGCGCCGTCGCTGCGTGTGTTTGCGACGACGTCTTCGCCGGCTTGCGACAAACCTAAGTGATGATATTGCGGGACCTCGGCGTCAAAAAGTAGCACGTGTGATCGCTGTCCGGCAGGGCAAGGGTTTCCTCGACCTTCCACGAAAGGTGCATTCGTGACGGGCGGGGCTAGATTTATCATAAACAGATCGCTGATTCATTCGTACAACGCGATACGACACATCCACGACCAGAGGTCGCTACCGTATCAACCGCTGCAACATCTGCAGGGAGGGAAGATGATTGTAGGCTATGAAACAAGTCGAATAACCCCCCCCTCAACACCGCTTCTGCCCTACACACGCAGCACAAACAAACTCGCACACCATTTTCAGGGGTCAACACAAAAAAATTGACAAGAACCTTATGGCCCAATTCTACAAGTGTTACCGGGGTGGCGGTGGCAAACACCTCGCCTGCGACAATAGACGCCGCGAACCGTCCTATTCCAGGACGTCACGCAATGCTCCTCACCAAGTTGAAGTAGCTCGCCCGGTAGCCCAGGTCCTTCGCGAACCGCAAGAACGCGTGTCCCATCAGCCTCGCCACCCCCCTCCGCCTCCTGCGCGGGTCCGTGATGAAGCCCCCGTTGCAGACGTGCGAGCACCTTCCCGGAAAGTTGGGCTTGATGTAGAACGTTCCCCACACCTTCACACCGGCGTCCCGTTCGTCATCCTCCTCCCCCACCGCGGTCGACCCAGCTTTCCCCGTCTCGTCGCTACCGATTGTTGCGGCCTCTGCTGCCGCCGATGTAGCCGCTGCCGCCACGGCTCGGTCCTCTGGCGAACACCCGGTCGCTGCGCCCGACGAACGGACTGACCGTTCCGGAGAACACAAAGAGGCCAGCTCTCCCGGCGGACTCATCAGCCCTTCCGATGACCGGACCTCCGAGAAGCCCGTTGGGCCTGCCGCCTCTCCCGCCACCCCACCCGGAGAACACGGCGCTCCTTCTTCTCCGCGGGCCGCCCGGTCTCCGCCCCCGCCTTCGCGACCTACCGTGTCGCGGCTGCTGTCACCCGCAGTACAAACCCTCGCACCGTCTCCGCTCGACGGTGCACCGGCGGCGGTAGGCGGTGGTTTTGCGGAGGGGGGGGAGGGCACAGCGCGCACGACGAACGCAGCATGGGAGAGGAAGTAGGCCCGAAAGGCGTCAATGTCCATGGCCTCCTCGAACGGCCAAGACAGCCCCTTTTCCATGATGAAGAGTGATGGCGATGCGCCAAGATGCATTGGTTTCAAGTTTGGTGTTGAGATGACGGGACGGGGCCGCCAAGTACGACGTGGACACGGGGGCAGGCGCCTCTGGTCAGGACGCGGACGATCTGACGATCAGGCCGACCGGTGGGGAAGTTGGAACTCATCGAGACCTTTTCGTAACGTTTCGCAGGAATGCCGTGGTTCGTGGTTCAACATCCGGGGCAGTTATTATCCTCACGCATGGTATTATTATGTGGCGATGCCCTCGATTCACGACATGTGCAGTCGCGACAGGCTGTGCCAAGTGTCAGACACATATGTACCTTAGGTTACGTTGAAAGATACCGTCTTGGAGCAGCGGCAGTTTAGACCAATCTGAATCGGAACGGAGAATGGCCAATGGTCCACGTGATCCAGATGCAAAACCGAACAACGCTCATCACTTGCCTCTTCGATTACGCCGTTGAGAAGACGGTGGCCGGCTGCATGCTCGCTGCGCAGTTAGGCACCGGCAGCAAAGGACACGCGCGTTTTTGTCACGAGGTAGATATTTCACCGCCGCCTTGCTGTTTCGAGCCGGTTGAACAATGAGGATACGAATTCTGCTGGGCGTGCGAATCCGGACAACACACGGTCTCACCGTGACGTGACCACACGTACGAACAGGAGACGTGCAGGGTGCAAACGGCCACCGCAACAACATCGATACGACCAGTAGCATGGAGGGAAAGACCACCGACAGAAAGAGGTGGAGTCACACAGACTCTGAAGCATCTCCGGGGCTCGTTCAACGGCGCCCCCACCAGGCTTGATCCCATTTTATTTTCGATGCAACACCAACCCTCTCTCTCCTTGTGGGCGCTGAGACCCGAGCAACGCCCACCGCTGCTACTGCCGCGGCACGTGTGCTGGAGAGGACACCACATCTTACCACAGCAAGCTAGCCACCGCTACTGCTACTGTGGAGTCCCCCTACTGGTTGGCATAACTTGTTGTTATGACACCCCCTTTGTTGCCACCAACAAGCAGCAAGTCAAGAGAAGGAATACGCCCCCTTATAGTATCACCGCCTCATCCATGGTATCACCCCCCCCAGCAACAACAGTATTGGAAAGGAACGGTACCGCCCCTTCGTCACCGTAACCCGGTGCTATCACACATTCTTGATTGCCTCGTGCGACGACGGTGTAACCTGGGTTGCACTACTGTAGCGATCACACCCCGCGGGTGATGTGCACACATCTCAAGTAACCACCCTAGGTGATGTATCTTTGTCGTTGTTAATATTAATATCCTTACAAGTTGTCGTGGGGGTGTGGTTTCGTACGACACACGAAGGGTATCCCAACATGTCCGCGAGGTAACCTCACCTTGTTCGGAAATGGTCTACTTCGACTTGCGTGCCGTCTGTGAGCTTTGTTCGGATCGGGAGATATCGCAGGCCTCGAGGTGCCCCAACCGATGGCCCTGAGATGCTTCCGTAGCAGGAGGCCATGTCGGAAGTGGTAATGTAATAATGTGTCTTGCGTCTTTTGTCTTGACCTGTTTTGAGACGAGGTATGCGCGTGGCATACATACATCCGTTGTGCCCCCATAAGCTTGCTTGCTGAACTTGCACCTGCACAACCATTTGCAAGATGCCGAGAGGGCACCACAAGCGCACCTTCTCCGACCCAGCCAGGTACGAGATCTTTCAGGTTGTCGGTGCTTGGCCAAAGGGCGCCTTTGCCTGCTGCTAAAGGCGAAAACGCCGACGATGAACCTTCGTTGTGTGTACGGCGGAGAACTGCTGCTGGTTGCCTTCGTTAACGCTTCCGAAGGAGCGATCATGTAGGTCAGGTTCTCAGGAAGGTGCTCAACGATCGGTACACTTACGTACTTAGGCACAGCACTACCCGACAACACAGCTTCCAACCTTGGGCCTTTCAGACATAGGCGATTATTCGACAGGACCGCCCATGTCCCCCAAGGAAGAAGATCGGAGAAGGGTACAGCGGGTAATCATGTCGACAGAGGGTGCCTTTGTGCCGAATCGCCACATCAACTTTAAACTTCAAACAACCGCAAGGCCACCGTGACCACCCTGGAAGTTCTTTGGACGGTATTTTCGGGTTGTCAGAGGACCAATCCATGCATGGCCGTGAGATGGGTCTAAGCACACGTGCCAGTTCATGGCATCAGGGCACCTTTGCTCACGTACGGAGAAAGGGGTTGCGGTGCTCGTACTCTTCAACTTCCAGGGTCAGGTTCTTAGGGAGTACACATGTGTACGACTTCTACAAGAGTCAGATGTGTTAGCCAGCTTGCTCTGCTGTCCGCGGAGCTAAAATAGGCATCCCCTGCGTTCATTTGTCCCCCGCTATCAAGTACACCCTGCTTGGTGTGCATGTGTATCCGCGTTTATAACAAGTCTGGGCCAAGAATAGACTCTTTTTAGTGCTGTAACAGCAGCATTTCTTTATTGACAAAACTCCGCATCATGGCAAAGATCAAGACCTACCCGTGGGAAGGGTTATCATGAAGCAGTACTGTGGTTTCAACGACGTGTCGATATCTGTAATACAGCGGTGAGGTTCGAAGGTTTGAGGAACACCTGGAAATCTACAGCAGTACTCCTGTCATACATCCGAGGAAAAGTTATGTCAGCGGGATTTTCTTTTTTTTCCCCGAATCGTTGGATCCACTTGAGAACTTGGAGGAATGCTACACCTGCGTAAAATACAACCTTCGGGCAGGGGCTGGTGGCACGTTCCCTGCAGGGGGGGAAAGGGACTGCAACGGAGTTGACCGTCCTCTTGTGCGGCCCCGACTGGCGTATCAAACCCCCACGGAAAGGTGTGGACTAGTTGGCGCGTGTAAGAGATGGGACGAGTCCCCATGCCCAGTCCGTTTTCGTTCGATCTGTTCGGTGTGTGATCTGTGTACAGCAGCTAAAACAGAGTTTTTTACGACAGCCAGGGGGCTTTGATACGTTATTGAAGCGCAACTATCGGAGATACCGTCCGTAGCGCCGGCAAGAACCGCTAGAGTTTTATTGGTATCGCAACTGTCGGAGCTGTCGTAGTGCGCGCAATGTAACAGTACCGGTAGATCGGCCCGCACAGGCAGGCTATTGTACAACCCGCACAGGCTACTGTACAACAGGGATCTATGTCGCATCGCACCGGGGATGCGACAAAGAAGCAAGAACGATTAAATATTTTCTTCGATTTCCGCGCCGGCATTGGGCCGATCGCACGTATCGGAGTCGCGGTTGCCGCACCGGGGTGCGATAGCAATTTTAGTCGAACTGATTTATCATTGAGATCGCCTCACGTGTCGGTCACTTGACATGCTGCAGACCTCTGACTCTCTAGGTTTCGCGTTCGAAATCTCTATGGTGTGAAAAAATCGCAGTGTAGGCGTGGAAAGCGCGTAGCCGTGACCAAGCACAAGCTGAGGGAAGCAACTGCAACACCCATCTAACGCAAGCACTGCACGTGGGGAGGTACAGAAGAACTCCAGTGTTTCCGTCGGTCCTGTGTGACTGACCCCGGCTGGTGGGTCAAATATGTGCCGATGTACCGAACCGTGTAAGCTAGCGTCGAAATCGATAGACACGAAGACAATCATCACACGCCCCAGTGCCCATGACTTGCACAAGTTTGATTGCCTATGTGCGTCGTCGTTCACGAGCTGGCCTACATCATCACCTTTTTGACCACAAACGAGATCATCCCCAAATCCGTCGCCTTTCTTCTTTTCTCCGCTGCCACCTTCGTGTCCTCCACGACCCTCGTGCAGGTTGCATACAAGAAGCGTGTGAAGGCAAGCCCAAACTTAAACACATCCTTCCAAACAGGCTTTTGCTTTGAGCTCCCTCATTTGAAGGGCACGGCCGTGCATTCGTACGCCTCGGACTTGTGGTTGGAGGTGAAGGTCCTTCGAACGGTGGCGAGGGGGGGGGGG